GTAGTAAACCTATAGTAAACATGTAGTAAACCTGTAGTAACCCCGTAGTAAACCTGTAGTAACCCCGTAGTAAACCTGTAGTAAGCCGGTAGTAGACCCGCAGTGGCCCTCCCATAGGCCTGCACTGAGGTCCTACCAAACCCATAGCAAAGGCACAGTAAAGTCGTAGCAAAGTTGTACCAAACCCATGCTAAAGTCATCGCAAACCTGTAGTAAGGGCGTAGTAAAGCTGTAGTGAGCCCGGGGTAAAGTTGCGGCCGAGCCAGCCTAAAGTCGGAGCGAAGTTGTAGCGAAACAGGGTTAAAAGGCGTAAGAAAGCTGTAGTAAACCTATAGTAAAGTGGTAGTGAGCTCAGGGTAACGTTGCGGCAGAGCCAGCCTAAAGTCGGAGCGAAGCGGCAGCCTAAACCTGGAGTAAAATCGTAGTGAAGGCAGAGTAAAGTTGTACTAAACCTGGAGCAAAGGCACAACAAGGTGGGTACAAAGGCCTAGCAAGCCTGGAGTAAAGTTGTAGTAAGTCAGTAACCTACCAGCAACTGGTGCATGACCTGTAAGCAACCTATGAGTAACTGACCCAGAGTCTGTAAGTAACCTCTGAGTAGCTTGTAAGTAACTGATCCGTGACCCATAAGGAGCCTACAAGTAACTCAACGTGTAACCTACGACTAACCGATGCATAACCCGTGAGTAACCTACAAGTAGCCTATAAGTAACTGATCCATAACCCATAGGGAGCCTATAAGTAACCTACATGCAATCTATGAGCAACGATGCGTAACCTCTGAGTAACCTATGAGTAGCCTCTAACTAACCCACAACCTACAAGTACCCTAAATGCAACCTATGAGTAACCAATGTACAACCTCTGAATAACCTCTGAGTACTCTGTAACTGATCCCTAACCTACGAGTACTCTCTAAGTGACCGACACATAACCTACGAGTACCCTACAACTGAGGTGTAACCTCTAAGTAACCAATGACTACCCTGTAACCAATGCATAACCTATGAGTAGCCTGTAAGTAACTAATCCATAATCTATAAGGCGCCTGTAAGTAACCAACGTGTAACTAATGCATAACCTGTGAGTAACCTACAAGTACCCTATAAAGTAACTGATCTGATAAGGAGCCTACAAGTAACCGATTGGTAACCTACGAGTAATCGATGCATAGCCTGTGAGCAACCTAGGAGTAGCCTGTAAGCAACCGATCTATAGGGAGTCTAAGTATTCTACATACAACCTATGAGTAACCGATTCATAACCTGTGAGTAACCTACAAGTACCCCATAAGCAACTGATCCATAATCCCTAAGGAGCCTGTAACCAATGTGTAACCCACAAGTAACCGATGCATAACGTGTGAGTAACCTACGAGTACCCTGTAACTAACCCATAATCTATAAAGAGCCTGTAAGTGACCAACACATAACTCATGCATAACCTGTGAGTAACCTATGAGTAGCCTACAAATAACTAATCCATAACCTGCGAGTACCCTACG